TCATTGGTTGGCTGCCTTCTGCATGCCCCCCATTGGGAATTGAGCCTGCCACCTCTGCATGTGCCCTTGACTGAATTCGAATCTGGGACCCTTCAGTCCGGAGGCTGACACTCTATCCACTTAGCCAAACCAGCTAGGGCTGGATAACTTTTTAAAAAGTAAATTGTAAAGCTCAGTTTGAATCAATCTTATTTTGTAAAAGTTATATATGTATATATGTGTATGTTTATAGACATGTCTAGAAGGATAGTCATGAATATGTATACTTCAGTTATCTCTGGATGATGAAATTTGAGGTGTTTTTTTTTTTTTTAACTTTCTACTCTGTGCTTTCCTGTACAGTGCCCACTGTATAAATTCCTTTCAGTTCCCATATACCACATGCCCTCACACTCTTCTCGGCTTTCACACATGGTTCCTCTCCTGGTGTGTTCTTAATCATTTAAACCCAAATACTTCACCTGACTAACACCTATTCATCCTATGGTGTCTCTGCTTAGTAATCAATTACTCTCAGAAGACTTCGTGTGTGTGTGTGTGTGTGTGTGTGTGTGTGTGTGTGTGTGTTCGTGTGCTTTCATAGTACCCAATAATTCCTTCTCAGAGTACTTAACACATTGATTTATCATTACCTGTTGATTTGTCTAGATTTCCCACAATTATCTGTCATGGCAAGGATTATATCTAGTTCACTACTATATTCCCATTACTTTGCACAATTTTTGCACATCACTAATCACTGAGTAGGTGTGCTGTGGATACAGTTACTTTCCACCTAAATGGAGTCTCCATCTTCTGCTAAATGTTGCTAAATCTGGTGGAACACCAGAATGGTGGCCAGCCCGGCCATCACCAGAAAAGCTAATCTGGGAAACACAGAGTAAGCAGAGACAGGAAGAACTGGGTCTGTCAAGATGTCATTGAGCCAATGAGTAGTAACTCTCATTCAACCGACATTCAGACTTCTTGCTCCAGGAGATTATAATCGCTCTTGCTGTTGCAGCTCTTTAGTTACATGCAGCCAAATCATCACAAGTGAGAGAGTGAGTGAATGAATGAATGGATGGATGGATGACTTCATCCAGTAGCATAAGAAAGCCACCTCCCCTACAATCAAGTTAATGTCTTGTCTTGGAGACTTCAAAAACTGCTTACTATTCCTAAAAGACTTAAGACAGTAAGACAATAAAAGCTTGATTATCGGAAAGTTTCACATATTACAGTTTTCTGGATAAATTTTGTCTGGGGGCATGCAGGTGAAAGCTGCACTTTGCAAGGGAAAAGAATCTCCTATCAGGGTGTCATTTAAAAAAACAAAGATAACGTTCTTAAAGAAATGTCCAAGTCAAAACCCATCCAGTCCAATCTCCTAAATGTTAGCATGCATGAGCCTAACTTGGAGACCTTTTTTAAACAGCCAATCTGGAGACTTAGATTCAGTGAGATGTGGAGGAGTCCAAGGATCTGCGTTTATCCAGCATTGGGGTGTGGCTGGTCTGCAGATCACACACACTTCAAGAAGACTTATTCTAAACCTTCCACTTTGTATCTATGGAATTGAACTGTAAGAAGTGATGTTTCACACAATAATCAAGGGAGCAGGCTCAACTGGTAAAAAGATCCAAAAGATGGGGGCCGTATTTTGGCTTATCTACCCACCAGAATTAGACTGTGATCTGACAAGTCACTTAAGCTGTCTATGTCTAAATGTCCCCATTTATTAAAAATAACAAAGGTTAATAGTTCTCTGCATTGTCACCCCTCAGACTGATTGTAAAGACCAAATAATTTCAGTAGATGTACTGTTCAAATATAAGAAAATGCTCTTTGTCAGAACTCTAGTGTTTATTGAGTTCCTTGATAAAAGAATTATTTGTGTTCATTAGGCCCTGTTTATTAAGAAAAAAATGGGGATTCATATTTTTGAAAAATTGCTACATGGTCAGACTGTAAAGGGGATTTGCTTAATTTCCAGTTAACCTAAGAACTTGTTAACCACAACATCCTAATCCTAAGCATCCTAACTAACTGAGTTTTCATGTACATGATGTACATTTATTAACAATATGTGCATTTGTGAGTAGACTTCCTAGTGAAGGAAGTTTCTTTGACTTGGGCAAAAATTAATGGACCCAACAACCCATAAAATGGAAGACAATTTTTGCAAATCATTTATCTGATATAGGATTAATATCCATAATGTATGGAGAATGCCTAAAATTCAACAACAACAAAAACTACTTGGTTCAAAATAGGCAAAAGATTTCAATGGCCATTTCTCCAAAGACTTATGATTGGCCAAAAAGCACATGAAAAGATGCTCAACATTAAAAAAAAAAAAAAAAAAAAGCCCAACATCACTAGTCATTGAGGAGATGCAAATCAAAACTAGAATGAGATTCCACCTCACACCTATTAGGATGGCTACTATTTTAAAAAAAAACACGGAGAACAAGTGCTGGTGAAGATGGAGAAATCGGAGTCCTCGTACTGCTCATGGGAAAGCAGTATGGTAGTTCCTAAAAAATTAAACAGAGAATTACCATATGATTCAGCAATTCCACTTCTGGGTATATACCCAAAAGAATTGAAAGTGGAGTCTTGGAAAGATATTTGTACATCCATGTTCATAGCAGCATCATTTACAGTAGCTAAAAAACAAAAGCAACCCAAACGTTCATTAACAGATGACTGGATAAGCAAAATGTAGTACAGATAAGGGGATATTACTCAGCCTTCACAAGGAAGGAAATTCTGTAAGATGCTGTGACAAGGATAAACCTTGAGGATATTATGCTAAGTGAAAAAAGCCAGTCACCAAAAGCTATATACTGTATGATTCCACTTTTATGAGATACTCAGAGTGGTCACAACCAGAGACACTAAGTAGAATTGTGGTTGCCAGATAATGGGCAGTTACTGTTTAACTTTTTAAATGTGGCCAGTAAAAAAAAAAAAATTAAAAATTTCAGATTGGCCCTAGCTGGTTTGACTTGGTGGGTAGAGCGGCAGCCTGCAAATTGAAGGGTCACTGGTTCGAATCTTGTCAAGGACATGTGCCTCAGTTGCAGGCTCCTCCTCAGCCCAGGCCCTGGTCAGCGTGCATGCAGGAGGCAACCAATCAATATGTTTCTCTCACATTCATCTTTCCCTCTCTCTTCCACTTTCTCTAAAAATCAATGGAAAAATATCCTTGGGTGAGGATTAAAGAAAAAAAAAAAAGAGTAAAAAAAGGAAATAAAGCAAGTGAAATCAATTTAAATACTATATTTTACTTAACCTGATATATCAAAATATTATCACTTCACACACAATCCATATAATTATTGAGATATTTTGCATTCTCTTTTTTTGTACAAAGTCTTTGAAATCCACTGTGTTTCACACTTAAAACACATCAAAATTTGACCCTGGCCCAGTAGTTCAGTTGGTTAGGGCATCATCCCAATGTGCCAAGGTTGTGGGTTTGATCCCTAGTGAGAGCATAGATGAATCAATCAATGAATGCATAAATAAGTGGAACAACAAATCAATATTTCTCTAAAATAAAAAATTTTAAGTACATCACAGTTTAGACTAGTCATTTGCCAAGCCCAATGCAAACAGCCTCTCACTATTTGGACTTTGGTCGTTACTGAGTATGTGAGCCTCTGCCTACATTCTTCATTCATTCATTGGTCAACAAACTCTAGGTGTCTATTATGCACCAAGTGTTATGCTGGAAACTGGAAATATAGAAGTGAATCAGACATTGATTGTTCTAAAGCTCAGTTTGTGAATGTGAGAAACCAATCAAAAGGCCAAAAAAGTTGTGAAAGAATCATGCCTGACATAGATGCACTATGTTAGCAGCACCTGAAGCGGGAAGGAAGTGACAAGAGTGTAATTAATGTTAAAAGTGGCCCTGAGCTGCCTTCCAGGATGTGTGCTGGTAGCTCTATGAAGGGGATGGGAAAGGGCATTCCAGAGGTGCCAGCCTGAGCAAAGGCACTGAACCAACCGAGGGAGAGTGGGGCCCAGGGAACCTCCTAAGAATGCATGTTAAAGCAAAGGTGAAAGGAGAAAGCGGATAGCTACGTAGCGCCAGTTGACACACCTGGCAAGTTGTCTGGTTTCAAAAACAAAAACCTCTGACACTTCTTAAAATCTCAGAAGAGACGAGATGTAAAGGACACCATAGTTAGGCTTTTGCCGGTAACAGTCGCCGCTCCTCTGGACTGGCTGCTCCATGAGGGCAGGGCCATCTGCTTTGCTCACCACCCTGTCCCAGGGCCTGCAACACAGCCTGGCACCGAGTGGGCGCTAGAGGCTTCCCAACAGCTAGTGTCCTCCATCATCCTACCCGCCTTCGGCCCTCCCCAACCGCCTCAGTAGATTGGGAAAGGGGGAAGACGGCTAGCCAGGCCCGTAATCCCCAAGCTGCGGGGAGATTTACAGAGGGCCGAGGGGCGCCCCACCCCACCTCTACCCTCCCCTCGGAAGGTAACGCTACGCGTGACTGCTTCGCCCGCCTCTCGCGAAGGCGCCCCCCAAAGGCGATGGGAAAGGAAGCAGCCGCGCCCTCCGGCTCAGGAGCGGTCCCCGCAGCCGCCGAGACGGGAAGCCCGGATCCCGCCCCTCGCGTCCCCCTCGCGCCCCACCCCCCCCCCGCCCCGCCACCTCCGCGACGAACAACACAGTCGACCCGCAGGCGTCTGGGTCCCTGGCCAACCCCTCCCCGTGCGTCGGCGCAAAGAGGGTGGAGCCACCTGATTCCTTCAGCCAATAGGAGCAGCGGGTTCCTGGTCCGATCTCCCGCGCGGCTCGCCATTGGCCGGCCCCCGAGTCTCGGCCCACCGAACCTTCGCGAGCCGAGCCAATCGGGTGGCAACGAGGCGACCCCCGTCCCCGCTCTTCAGGAGCCGGCGACGGGCGCAGGCGGGCACCGGGCGGGCGGCGGCGACCGGCGACGCGAGCCGATACCTCCCCTCCCCCGCGCGGCGCGCCGTGTCGGCCGCACCATGGAGCCCGCCGTGTCGTTGGCCGTGTGCGCGCTGCTCTTCCTGCTCTGGATCCGCGTGAAGGGGCTGGAGTTCGTGCTCATCCACCAGCGCTGGGTGTTCGTGTGCCTCTTCCTGCTGCCGCTCTCGCTCATCTTCGACATCTACTACTACGTGCGCGCCTGGGTGGTGTTCAAGCTCAGCAGCGCGCCGCGCCTCCACGAGCAGCGCGTCCGGGACATCCAGAAGCAGGTGAGCGCTCCCGGCGGCGTGCGCGGCCCGGCGCGAGGGATGGAGCGGTCTGCGTGCGCGGCCCGGCGCGAGGAGCGGAGTGTTCGGCGGCGCAGGGGGAGAGCCCAGCCCGCACGAGGGGATGGCGTTCCAGGGGGGGTTTGAACTCAGAAATGTGATGGGGCGGGGGGAGGCCTTCCCGGGGAGAAAGCGGGAGGGGTAAACAAAGGCTTGGAGAGAATAAAACATTGCTCCGATGTTTAATGGAGTTCCCACTATTATGGGCAAACACCAGGAGGAATATAAAGAATCATAAGATAGGGTGTGTGTTGTGTTTTTTGTTTGTTTGTTTGTTTGTTTGTTTGTTTTTGGGGGGGCGACAGCTGGTAGCTGCCACCAGGCCGGAGCAATTTCTGAGGAGGGAGGGCTTCCAGGAAGTGGAGCTGGCTGGAGGTGTGAGTGGGTGTGAAGGAAGGCTGGGTGGGGAAGGAAAGTCAGTTTGGAGCTAGTTGATGGAGGCGACTTCAATGTAGAGATGACTCTGTACCACCAAGGAGTTTTTGACACATTCGAATAAAGGACCAAAGTGACAAGGTAGCATGTAGCCAAGGTGAGGAGCCTTGCAGCCTCTGGGCCAGATGCTCACTCCTGGACACGGACAGTTAGTTGCCCACTTTCCAAGTACCTCTGTACATCCTCCCGGGTGTCCGCGCCCACAGAGCCTTGTCCTGCTGCTGCCCAGAGCTGAGCTCCTTCTTGCGTCCAGGGCTGGCATAGCCATCCAGCCCGGGCAGGTTCTTGGCTCCCTCTGCCCGTCCTTAGGTTCCTCTCTTACTAGCGTCAGGTTGCAAAGAGCTTCTGTTTCCTGCTACCCGCCTCGCCACAGGTGTAGCAGCCTCCATGTTCTGGGTGCTGCAAGCAAGAATGTGAAGATGGATGCTCAGAGCGTTCCCACAAGAGAGAGAACCCGTGGGTGGAGTGGGAGAGGGCAGTGTCTGCCAGTGCTTTGCTTGGGCTGTGACCCCGGGTTTTGGGGTCACAGTCATGGCTCCAGAGCCTTGCCTACCCTCCCTCCCCAGCTGTACCCTCTTTCATAGCTCTTTCCATGTGTTCAGATTCCCCATTTAACTGTTTCTCTCCCGCATCAGAGTGCTGCTGGAGGGCAGGGACTGTTAGTCAACACACCTCTGACTCATGGGACCCGGGGAACAGCCCACTGAGCTCTTTATTTAAACTGAACCCGTGGTCGGCAAACTGCGGCTCTTTGGCCCCTTGAGTGTGGCTCTTCCACAAAATACCACAGCCTAGGCAAGTCTATTTTGAAAAAGCGGCGTTAGAAGAAGTTTAAGTTTAAAAAAATGTGGCTCTCAAAAGAAATTTCTATCGTTGTACTGTTGATATTTGGCAGTTTTGACTAATGAGTTTGCCGACCACTGAACTAACCCAAAGGGGCCCGACCAGCCTGGAGCATCACCCTGGCCCTGCAATGTGCATACTTTCTAATCCTCACAGCATCCCTGGTAGGTCTTATACCTATAATACAGATGGGGAAAACTGAGGTTCTTAAGTCAGTGCTCAAGATGATATAGCTAGTAAATGGGGCTGGAACCAGGTCAGCTGATTTCAGAGCCTGAACTCTGACATGTTTTTCTTTCCCATCCCATTCCATTCCATTCCACCCTGTAGGTCTGGTTCTGTTGCCTCACACCTGGCATGTAATAGCTACCGAACTAGTTGCCCCTCTTCTGGGCCCTCACCACCTTTCTTTGGCATGTACACTCCCCACAGCATGGCCTCCCTGCCAAAAATCTTGATTAGCTCCTATTCAGCCAACGTTTCAGGCCTTATGGCTTTCACATCCATTTCATGCCTTGTGGCTCACCCTCTGGCTTGAACATAGCACCCCCAATCCCCTTCCTGGATAACTCCCCTCCGCTCAGACACCTCTACTTCCTCTGGCACCCTGGCCTCTGATCGTAGGAAAGTTCTTCCCCCTGTTGAGCTGTTTGCCTGATCAGCTTCAATGCAATCTCCGTCCCGACTCTTGGTTGCAAGTGATAAAAACTCAGCTTAGACTGAAGAGCAAAAAGGGGATTTTATTGGCCCATGTCCTGAAAAGTTCTTATCTTGTATTAGTTTCAGATGTAAGCACAGAGGGTAAGGCTGTGGGCCTCCCAGGGCCCAGAAGCAGGCAAGGGCTCTGTAAATGTTTGCTGACAAGGGCAGCCGTCCTTCCCAGCTCCCTTTCCCGAGAGCAGGGCTGCGAGTTGCTGTGGGGATGCAGGTGGAGCTAGCTTAACCTCCGTTCCTTGGCTGCAGGTTCGAGAATGGAAGGAGCAAGGCAGCAAGACCTTCATGTGCACAGGGCGCCCTGGCTGGCTCACCGTCTCGCTTCGGGTTGGGAAGTACAAGAAGACCCACAAAAACATTATGATCAACCTGATGGACATTCTGGAGGTGGATACCAAGAAGCAGGTGAGAGTGGCACGGTTCCCTGGCTCTGGGAGTGGGCGGGGCACTGCCCCTGGTCCAAGTGACTTGCAGAGAGATGGTTTCAGCCAAGGGCATCCCGGAGCGGATAGGACTGAGAACCTTGGTCATCACAGAAAGTCCTACTGACCATTGCCAGCCTCAGAAGCCTCACAGCTTTGAAAGAGATCAGTGATAGCCCCATCTCACAGGTTGGCAAACTGAGGTTCAAGGGGATTCTTTGATTGTCTGCCGTTCCACAGGAAGACAGATGGGTAAACCCTGGGCAGAATGAGCGGCCAAGGGAACCTATTTAGCCTCTGCCGGTAAGGAGGTATGCTGGCAAACGGTGGTGTGGAAGTAGCTGGGAGGGTGGGCCTTGCCCCAGGCTTCTGGGGACCCAGGTGTTAATAGCTGTAGACACGTGCATACTCTTTGGCCTATCTAGTAATTCTGTTCTAAAACCTGGCTAAGGAAACAGGAAGTAAGCTTTAATCAAAGACAACACAGAGCAAGGTTGTATCACAGCTTGCTTGCTTTCTTCCTTTCTTTCAATCACAGTTTCATTTCTAATCCAAGAGAACACAATATCCAATAGTAAGCAGTTATTAGATATATATCCTCATGATGGCATTTTGTTTTGAGGCCATGGCCAAATTACATAATCTCCTGTGCCTTTCCTCCCTAAATAGCTTTGTTGAATGATACTTGATATATGATAAACTGCACATAACGTACAATTTGATAAAGCATTTTGACATATGTATGTGAACACCTGTGAGACCATTACCACAATCAAGACGATGAACACCCCAAAAGTTTCTTCTTGCTCCTCGGTAATCCCTTTTGCAGGCCCTCTCTGCCTCTTCCCTCGCATCTCTAGGCAAATAATGACTTGCTTTTTGTCACTGTAAATTGGTTTGCAGTTAGAGTTTTTTATAAATGGAATCATGCATTATGTACTTTTGTCTGGTTTCTTTCACTCAGCATTATTTTTGCAGGTTGAAACATGTATCAGAAGTATATTCTGTTTTATTGCTGAGTAGTATCCCATTGTATGAATATATCATAGCTTATTTATTCTTTCACTTATTGATGGATATTTGTGTTTTTTCCAACTTTGGACTATCATAAATGAAGTGTCTAGGAACATTATGGACACACTTTGTATGGACATATATGCCTTTCTGTTTCTTGGTTAAATACCCAGGAGAGGAATGGCTGGACCATATGGTGGGTGTATGATGAGCTTTTTAAGAAACTGCCAAACTGCCTTCTAATGTGGTTGCAGTATTTTACATAAATGTTTAATGCTGTTATAAATTTCCCCCTTGAGCCAATCCACACATTTTGATATGTTATCTTTTCATTTTCATGCAATTCAAAATACTTTCAGGTTTCCTTTTAGATGTCTGCATTGGCCCAGGGGTTATTTAGAAGTATGTTATTCCGTTTCCAAATATTGGGGAGATTTCAAGAGCTCTGTTACTCATTTCTAATTGAATTCAGTTGTTGACAGAAAATATACTTTTATGATTAGAATGTTTTTCAGTTTATTGAGATTTACTTTGTGGCCCAGAATATCTTGGTAAATGTTCCATGCATATTTTTGTTGTTGTTTCTTTTCTTTTGAGTTTGTTTGTTTGTTTTTTACATTCAATCTTATCTTGTATTAGTTTCAGATGTAAGTATTTTTTTTCTTTTCTTTTTATTACCTCTCACCCATCCTATTTTTATTATTTTATTATTTTTATTGTTTTCAGAGAGGAAAGGAGAGGGAGAGAGAGGTAGAAACATCATTGATGAGAGAGAATCATTGATCAGATGCCTCCTGCACGCCTCCTACTGGCGATCGCGCCCACAACCCAAGCATGTGCCCTGGACCAGAATTGAACCTGGGACCCTTCAGTCCACAGGCGACGCTTTATCCACTGAGTCAAACTGGCTAGGGCTACATTATTATTTTTTAATAATCACTTATCTTTTAAAGAAATTTAAGTAATAAGAAAAAACCTTATATACTTACCCATATAGTTGCCATTTCTTCTTTCCATTGTGTAGATCGTATTTCCGTCTGGTTTCATTTCCTTCTGCCTGAAGGACCTCCTTTAACATTGTTATATGGTGATTTTGCTGGTGATGAATCAGCTGTTGTGTATATGAAAACATTTATTTTGCCTTCATTTCTTTTCCAGGTTTTATTGTACTAAAATACATAATATAAAATTTACCATCTTAACCATTTTAAATGTATAGTTCAATGGCATTAATTATATTCATACGGTTATGTAGCCATCACCACCATCCATCACCATAATTCTTTTCGTCTTGCAAAACTGAAACTCTATACCCATTAAATAATAACTCTCTATTCTCCCCTTCCTCCAGCCCCTGGCAACCACCATTCTACTTTCTGTCTTTATGGTTTTGACTACTCTAAGTATCTCATGTAAGTGGGATCATGCAGTATTTGCCTCTTGGTGGCTGGCTTAGTTCACTTAGCATCATGTCCTCAAGGTTCATCCATGTTATAGTACATTGTAGAATTCCATTCCTTCTTAAGGCTGACTAATATTCCATTGTACATATATAGCTCTTGTTACTTATCCATTCATCTATCAATGGACATTTGGTTGCTTCCTTGTTTTAGCCATAATGAATAATGGTATTTTGCACATGGATGTACAAATGTCTTTTCAAACCCTGCTTAATAATTCTTTTGAGTATATACCCAGAAGTGGAATTGCTGGGTCATGTAGTATTTTTATGTTTAATTTTTTGAGGAGCCACTGTACTGTTTTCCACAGTAGCTGTATCATTTTACTCCCCACCAGCAGTGTGCAGGGTTTGAGTTTCTTCATATCCTCACCAACACTTGTTATTTTCTGTGTTTGTTTGTTTGTTTGTTTGTTTGTTTTTATAGTAGCCATCCTAATGGATATGCAGTTGCCTTCATTTCTGAAAAATATTTCACTGGGTATGGAATTCCAGCTTCACTATCCTCTTGCTTGCATTGCTTCCAACAAGAAATCTCTCTCTCTTTAAATATATTTTTATTGATTTCAGAGAGGAAGGGAGAGGGAGAGAGAGATAGAAACATCAGTGATGAGAGAGATTCATTGATTGGCTGCCTCCTACATCCCCCACTTCTGGGGGTCGAGCCTGCAGCCCGGGTATGTGCCCTGACTGGGAATCAAACCCGGACCTCTTGGTCCTCGGGATAATGCTCAATCCACAGCTGAGCCCGACAAGAAATTTCTTACCTTTGTTCCTCTGTATGTTATATGTCTTTTTTTCCCTGACAGCTGTTTTTAAGATTTTTCTCATTATCACTAGTTTTGAGCAGTTTAATTATCATATTCCCTGGTATAGTTTTCTTCATAATTCTTGTGCTTGATATTCATTATAATTTTCATCAAATTTGGAAATTTGGGTCTTCATTTCTTCAAATATTTTTCTGTCTGCTACCCTCTCCTCTTTGAGGATTGCCATCACACATATATTAGGCCACTTGAAATTGTTCCACAGTTCACTCTGATACACTGTTGATTTTAATTTTTCCTCCTACAGTGTTTCATTTTGAATAGTTTCTATTGCTGTGTGTTAAGTTCACTGCTCTTTTCTTCTGCAATGTCTAATTTTCTGTTAATCCCAGCCAGTGTATTTTTCATCTCAGACATTGTGGTTTTCTAAAAGTTTGATATGGGTCTTTTTTTTTTTTTTTTCTATCTTTTTAATGTCTTTACTTAACTTTTGAACATAAGGAATACAGCAGTAATTATTTTAATGCCATCATTTGCTAATTTTAATATCTGTAAAACAGATTAATTAGTTTTCTCACTGTGGGTTGAATTTGCCCCTTTGCAAGCCTTGTAAACTTAGATTGGCATTTATTTATTTATTTATTTTATTGATTTTTTTTTTTACAGAGAAGGGCGAGGGATAGAGAGTTAGAAACATTGATGAGAGAGAAACATCGATTAGCTGCCTCCTGCACATCCCCTTGGTACATGCCCTTGACCAGAATGGAACCTGGGACCCTTCGGTCTGCAGGCCTATGTTCTATCTACTGAGCCAACCCAGTTAGGGCAAGAATGGCTTTTAGACATTATGAATTTTACCTTGTTGGGTGCTGGGTATTTTTGTATTCCTATAACCCTTCTTGAGCTTTGTTCTGGGATATAGCTAAGTTACTAGAAAACAGTTTGATACTGTTGGGTCTTGATTTTTAGGTGGGGTCAGAGCAGTTAAATTAGGGATAGCTATTCCCCTCTGGGAGGCAAGACTCTCCTGAGTACTCTCCTCAATGCTGTGTGAAGCAGGAGGTTTCCAGTCAGCTCGTGGGAACAGATTCTGTTCGCTGCACTGTTACCTGCTGTCCTCTCTGGAGGCTCTGTCCCGGCCTCAGCCTCAGGTAATCTGCTCATGTGTATGCACTGGACTGTACTCCGTTGAATACTCAGTGGGTGGGTATCTTTGCAGCCCTTCAGTTTTCTCTCTGCACACTTTCCTCTCCATACTCTGTCCTGCAAATTCTATTCACCTCAGTCTTCTGGGCTCTCAACTCAGAGTCCGCTGGGCCCCTGTGCTCCCCCTCTCACCGCTCCCCATCTCCGTCATCATTCACTTCATTGCCTGAGGCCCACTATGTTGAAAACTCTTGTTTTATATATATTTTGTCCATTCTTGGTTTCCAGGCAGCAAGGTAAATCTGGTCCCTTTTGTTCCATCTCAGCTGAAGTCCACCATGATTAATGTGCCCAATAAACATCACATTTTCCGAGAGTTTTTAATCATGACAGACAATAGTTATCGTATTGTGTTAAATTTTTAAAGTAAGATCAGAATGTGTGTGTGTATATTTGCATGTGTATGCATTGTATTAAAACATACAAAATGTAAACATGCGTGGAAAAAGACTGAAAAGATATACACTTTGGGATAAGCATTGATGTGGATAACTTATTTTCTTCATGTATTATCTTCCAAACCCATAATCTAGAAGGAAAGTAAACTAGGTATTAAGAGTGAAGGTATTTGAAAGGATAAGATTCAACCATAGCAAACCCAGAGCCAGAAACCCCACTCACTGGAAGGAAGGAGACCAAAGGCTGAGGAGGCATGTCCGCCTGGTTGTTTGGGGCGGTTTGAAGGACGCTTTCTGCATGCAAAGCCCCTGTGAGGCCCTGCAGCCTCCTTGTGACTCAGGATTTCTCTTCTTGTGTCAACAGATTGTCCGTGTGGAACCCTTGGTGTCTATGGGTCAGGTGACCGCCCTGCTGACCTCCATTGGCTGGACCCTGCCTGTATTGCCCGAGCTCGATGATCTCACCGTGGGTGAGGACTCAGATGGTGTTAGGATCAGACCTAAGGCACCTTGGCCCCCCGCCCCGTTCCCTGCAGTGCAGGGGTCTCCACTGTTCCATCTGTGACAGAAGTTCCCACCAGTTCCAGGGAGCCTCTGAACAGCTCAAATGACCGGGCAGCGCTTCTCCATCTCTGGCTCGAATCTGCTTCCCGGTGACATAGCCACAGCTCCAGCTCTGCCCTGTGGAGCACACAGAATATGTCTAGTCTCTTTTCTTCTTAGGGGGACATACCTTCCGTCCCTTTAACTGTTCCCATGGGACACAGCTTCCTGCCACCCAAACAGCCCCCCTTTTCATTAAGGTCCCTATGACAGTGAATTCACACAGGTTTGTAGGTTGGGTCTGGCTAGAGGTGAGGGTGTGTATGCCCTTCCTCTGAACAAGCCCTCACACTCCCATCGGAGCCCTCCCTTCTCTCTCCCGTTCTCCAGCCCTGTCATATCCTTGTGCTATGAGCTCCCCAGCTCCAGTGAAGAGCCCTTTACCCAGTCCCTGCCTCCCCTCACACCCTGAACCCCGCAGCTCCTCCTGGCTAACACGTATGTCTCTACAGGGGGCTTGATCATGGGCACGGGCATCGAGTCATCGTCCCACAAGTATGGCCTGTTCCAGCACATCTGCACTGCCTACGAGCTGGTCCTGGCGGATGGCAGCTTTGTGCGATGCACCCCGGTGAGTTCAGAGTCCGATGCCCCACCTGCTGCCCTGGGCATCCAGGAGCCTGGCACTGGGGAGGTGGCGCCGTGGGGATGCTTCATCTCAAATACCGTTGTTCAGTCTGGGTCTGTATTCCTAACGACCACCAAGATTTAAATAGCCCCTTTATGTGCTCAGACACTGTTTAAATGCTTTACATATATTAAGGCTTTTAATCCTTCAGCAACTTTATGGGTTAAGTATATTATTAGCCACATTTTACAGACAGGAAAGTAAGCATAGAGAGGTTAATAAACTTACTCTAGGTCACAGCTAGTAAATCGCACAGAGTGGATTCAAATCTAGGTGGCAACTCAGCCTCACAGTGGGGAGGCTTGGGTGTGCTGTGACCTTTGACACGTTCTCCTTATCTATTTGACTGGAGTGTTAATGCTCTTTCTAGGCTGTGGGGGAGTTCATAGCTAATGGCCTGGGAAAGGCTTTGTAAATGTGGATAATGGCCCAGAAGGGAGGCATTGAAATGTTCCTCTGGTGACCATGACCCTCAGTAAGGGTTCTGCTCTTTGTTTAGCCTGGGTTGGCCCTTGGTCCCCTGTTTTGGGTCTTTGGGCAGTGCTGGTCCTGGCTTCTTCCTGGGTAGCCTGTGGTCTGGGGGCTGCGCCTCGGCGGAGGAGGGAGGAGGCACTCTGTGTGAGCACCTCCCGACAGGGCTGTGTCTGGCCAAGGTCACGTGGAGGCTGCAGAGGGAAAGCCGAGGCCAGAATGCAATTTGTGAAGTGCCTGTGGGTTTACACAGGATGGTGACAGAACAGGAGTTAGTTCAGGCCGGTTTCTTTGTGTTGCTGCTGACAACGTGCTGTGATGTGGGACCCAGGCTGAAGGTCTCACATGTGTTAACTCTGCTCACAGTCAGAAAACTCAGACCTGTTCTACGCTGTGCCATGGTCGTGTGGGACCCTGGGCTTCCTGGTCGCCGCCGAGATCCGCATCATTCCCGCCAAGAAGTACATCAAGCTGCGGTTTGAGCCCGTGCGAGGCCTGGAGGAGATCTGTGACAGGTTCAAGCACGTGTCCCAGCAGCAGGAGAACCACTTTGTGGAAGGGCTGCTCTACTCCCTGGATGAGGCTGTCATCATGACGGGGGTCATGACAGACGAGGTGGAGCTCAGCAAGGTAGGCCAGGGCATCAGCTGCTGCGGACCAGGCCTGGGAGGATGGCAGCCGGGTGGGCTGGGACTGACCCTGAGAGCCACGCTGACCCTCACAGCCACCCTCTCTGCAAGGCCGCAATCTGGGCCAGCACACCTGGGGTTTGGGCAACAGCATCTATAGTCAGAGCTGTCTTACACAGTGACAGAAGCTTTGTTTCCTCTGCCCTTACCAACTGTCAGATATGTGCACCTGTTCAAATGTGTTTTCCTTGTCTAGAGTGATAAGCATTTCTTGCTAAGTGTAAGCTTTGATACACACAGCAACCCCATTTTATAGATGAGGAAACCGAGTTCTAAGAGGTCATATAAACTGCCACAAGATGGCAAAGCCACAATTTAGACATTGCTTGGATGTCTCCCAATCCAAATGGGTACTTCATCTTGCTGTATAATTTTTTTTAAAATATATTTTATTGATTTTATACAGAGAGGAAGGGAGAGAAATAGAGTTAGAAACATCAATGAGAGAGAGTCATCGATCAGCTGCCTCTTGCACACCCCCTACTGGGGATATTCCCGCAACCAAGGTACATGCCCTTGACCGGAATCAAACCCGGGACCCTTCAGTCCCCAAGCTGACGCTCTATCCATTAAGCCAAACCGGTCCCGGCGATCTTGCTGTATAATTTTTAATAGCTGTGTTTTATAAGAGTTTTTATGAGTTTTATTAGGAGAGTCTTGGAAAGTGTAAGCAAGTAGGAAAGAACAGTCTCTACCTATAACCATGACCCAAAGCCAGCTGTAGTATAACAGCCCTGGCCAGTTTGGTTCTGTGGATAGAGAGAGCATCGGCCCACAGGTTGAAGGGTGGTGGGTTCGATTCCAGTCAAGGACAAGTACCTCAGTTGCAGGATTGATCCCCAGCCTTGGTGGGGAGGTGACCAATCTATGTGTCTCTCATATTGATGTTTCTCTGACTCTCCCATCCCTTCCACTCCTCAGGTGGTGATTAATTAAATAAAAAAATAATAATATAACAATGTTGAAATATATAAAGAAAAAATTACAATATGTCTCTTCACCCTCAGGCACACAGCCATTTATGACAGTTTGGTGTGTGTTCTTTAGGCCTATTTATTTTTTATTTTTTATTTTTTTAAAATATATTTTATTGATTTTACACAGAGACGAATTGAGAGGGATAGAGAGTTAGAAATGTTGATGAGAGAGAAACATCGACCAGCTGCCTCCTGCACACCCCCCACCAGGGATATGCCCGCAACCAAGGTACATGCCCTTGACCGGAATCGAACCCGGGGCCTTCCGGTCCGCAGGCCGACGCTCTATCCACTGAGCCAAACCGATCTCGGCTTTAGGGCCTATTTCTGTGTGTGTGTGTTGTGTGTGTTGTGTGTGTGTGTGTGTACACGTACATGTTAGATGTACATGCCCTCATTTTGTTCCGTAGGACCCCCTTGTTGCATGTAAATATTGACCTCCCTCACTGCTGACTGATGAGTATTTATATTGCTTAAAATGTTTTGCTCTTAAAAATAAGGTTGCATTGAAGATTCTCGTATAGCCGTCTTTGGCCTCTTGTATGAGCACTTCCGTAGAATTGGTCCGGAAAGTGGAGTTTCTGACCCCAGGGGTTGAGCATGTTAATTGATAACTATGACCAGACAGCCCTTTAGGACAGCAGCACCCGGTCCACTCCCAGCAGCGGGCCATGAGTGTACCTTTCCCTCCCTCCTGCCAACACTGGGTAGTATCGCTCTTTCATTTTGGCCAATCTGATAGGGTTAAAAATAGTATCTCGTTTTGGTTTGCAGCCCCCAGGTCACTTGTGAGGTTGAACATCTCTTTGCACCCACGGTTTTCCGGTTCTGTTTGTCTTCGGCTGTGATCACCTGTTCCGATGTGTTTTCCTTGTCTCGTGTGATAAGCGTTTCCCGTGCTTTTACCTTGTCTTCAAAAACAGTCATATCTAATGTCTGTGGAACTTTGCCTGAGTGAATGCCCTGTCGTTTACTAAGCCCCTGCCCCACAGTTGCAAATGTAAGCTGCTCCCAGTTTTTCGCTATTTAATTTAATGAACATCTTTCGTTTGTAATTTAAACACTGTCTTAAAGTAGAATTAATAGATTGAGGGATAGGCACTCTTAAGGTGCTTGGTTGACACCTAAGTATACTTAAAACATTTTAAAATTGGAAGAGACTCAAAAACCATTTGGTACAATTCTCTCTCCAAATAAGGAAACGAGGCCCAGGGCGGAAAAGAGACTCCTGAGGACACACACCTAGCCCAGGGCAGATAGCAATGTGGGTCTCTGACTCCTGCCTCGAGTCCCTTCCCCTCCATCTCAGCTTCTAGAATTTAGCATCATCCACACATTCTGGCTGAGCACCATTCCTCGGGGGACACTGGTGAGCACTGATGGGGAGAGCTGGACCAGGAGTGGACACACCAGACACGGAGCCCACGTGGCCTGATGCTTCCTAGGCCGAGGCCCGTCTAGTTCAGAGGTTGTCCAGCTTCTCTGAAGCTTCCTTTCCCTTAGAGGCTGCCAGTGGTGAGAAGCTTAGATAGGGGTTATGAGGAACCCTATCCCCACTGTTATCAGTTCTTCTGTCACCCGTTTGATGTGTTAAATGCCACCTAAGCTTACAATTGGGCAGAGGGGTTTGTACAACTTGTAAACAGTTTGAGCACCCTGACCCTTTCTCCCAAGGAGAAGACCAAGACGTTACCCAGAGGCCCGTCTAGTGTCCTTGGCAGAGGACTGGGGCCCCTTGGGCAAAGTGTCCTGTGAGCAAGACCTTGAAACCCAGTGGGAAGAGGGCTGGGAGGGGAGTGAGAGATGCCCTCAGATGTGTGGACATTTCCTCTGAGGAACATTTCTTCTCCTGCTTGGGAGGCTGCTCAAGACTGTGTCCCCGTGGCCAGGCACTGCGATGGCCCCTGCAGACGCCGTGCCGTGGCAGCCTCACTGTGGCCCTGGGAGGAGGCAGCCGCCTCCTTCGCACAGGGGAGGCCCAGAGACAGGAAGCGGCTTATCTAAGTGCCAGGGTTGGACCTGGAACTCAGCGGCCACCTGGCTGCTCCAGCTGTGTGCCCTGGGAGAGGTGGGCAATCTGGCTTCTCTGGTACAGGGGGTTCCTGATGAGTCCGTCGAAGAGCACCCATCTCCCAGTCCCCTCCAGTCTCCATTTCATTATGCAGCTGGAGCCACTGCCAGGAGCGTGGCCAGGGCCCTCGGGGGGGGGGGGGGAGGGGGGTAGCTCAGGTTGCTGTGCGCCCGTTGGGCTTCAATCTCCTTTGTATCAGCAGGCAGAGGCCAGCGCACGGTGTCCTCCCACACTGTCCTCTCAGAAACAGTTGGACAAACAGGCCCTGTCACCCAGTTTCCTGGTTGTCGTGGCCCCGGTTTCCTCCCTGCAAGGTGGCCGACCAGCAGAGTGGCCAGCACGAGGGCTAGCTCCAAAGTGAAGGGGGTTGGCAAGTGGATGTGGGAGTGGAAGGCCAACGTGGACCAGGAACTGAATACTGTGCCCTCCACGGTGGTCAGGCACCTACATTGCCTCTTAGTCCTCCAACCACTCAGGGAGTAGTAATGCCTCCAGTGTGCCTGCACAGGAAAGGAGGCTCGGAGAGGCTAAGTAACCTACCTAGAGTCGCCTGGTGTGTTACACCATTTTATAAATCTATGCAGGAACACAGAAAATAAAACCTAATGAACGCACGTTAGTTTTAGTAAGCTACAGGGATGAGGCTACAGAGCTGTCTTCATAGAGTGTATGTTGCTTTTAGAATCAGGAAAGAAATTAATAGCTTTTTGTTTTGTTTTGACCATGCCCACATTCCAGAGTCCACTATTCAAGGTTCTTGGTCTTGCTGTTGTGTAACATGGGGTGTGTCCTTGGACTGCTTTTGGGCAGCCTGTGGCCTTGGGCGATCTGTTCGACCTTGAAGATTCTCAGTCCCATCCTTGAAAAAGGGGCGGCCCACCCTGCAAGGTCGTGAAGAAGATAAGGAATAGACTGGCTGTGTGCCCTGACGCTGCCCTGACCCTGGCTACTCTGGGGCTGGCTCACTTCTCACTGTGCATCTGCCTGTCCCTTCCTGATAGTCCCCTAGCAACTTCTTCCTCTCCTGCGTGGTCTCCACTCTCTCCTCCTACCCTTTGCCGAGCACACCCAGCTGGTGTGATCTACCTGCCCCTAAGTCTGGGTGCCGCTCTCATCCCCGAAAAGCTGGTCTGTGAGGCCTGAGCATCTGCAATGTGTGTGTGTGTGTGTGTGTGTGTGTGTGAGATTTTCAGTAGGCGCCAAAGAAATTTCCGGAGAGCAGGTATAGATATAGATATAGATATAGATATAGATATAGTTTTTTTGGTTTTTTTGTTAATCCTCACTGGAGGATATTTTTTCCATTGATTTTAGAGAGTGGAAAGGAGGGGTGGAGAGAGCAAGAGAAACATTGATGTGAGAGAGCCACATCAATTGGTTGCCTCTCACAGGCGCCCCAACCAAGATGGAGAACCTACAACCCAAGAATTGAACTCGCAACCTCGGTGTGCAGTCTGATGTTCTAGCCACTGAACAATGCTGGCCAGGGCCAGAGCATACATTTTTTTTTAAATATATTTTTTTATTGATTTTTATACAGAGAGGAAGGGAGAGAGATAGAGAGCCAGAAATATCAATGAGAGAGAAACATCGACCAGCTGCCTCCCGCACACACCCAACCAACGTACATGCCCCTGACCGGAATCGAACCTGGGACCTTTCAGTTTGCAGACCGACGCTCTACCACTGAGCCAAACCGGTTTCACATGTAAAATGGTTACAGAGCATACATTTTTTAAACCATTTTACATGTGAAGAAATAGGCTGAGAGAGTGGCCCACCCGCGGTCGCACAGCTGGTGGGTGACGAGCCTGTGCTCCTTCGGGGTGCCGCCCTGCTGCTCTCCTCTAGCACCTGCCCAGAATTCACCTCACGGATGAGGAAGCTAGGGTCCAGACAAGCTAGGGCACACAGGAAGGAGATGAAGTCTTGAACCATTTAGGACCGAAGGAACCATCTGCTAAGCAGACCATGGAAGCCTGGGGCCACAAGGACTGTGCCGGAGAAATACTCTGGCTTACTCTGTGAGCTCCCTCCACTGATGTCTGCTGGGGCCAGCGCTATGCTCAGGGTCGTGGGGCTTGGTCTCCAGTGACAGGGAAAGGCCGAGGTTAATTAGTGCTGTGAGCCCCGGGAGCCAGTGAGGAGATGATCCATGCTCAGTGTTTGTGCCAACACCCTCCTGGTGGGAGGCAGGGAGGCAGGGAGGGAGGGATTCCCCGACACGGAGCACTGGCTTATGAGAAGTGCTGGTAAACATTTGCACTTTGATTTTCTCATTGAGAAGGAGCAGCAGGCGAGGTCGGGTCAGCAAGCTCACCAGACTGTCAGAAACTAGCTGTTGGGCCTGGGCACACCACTTACCCTCTGAGCTTCTGCCTGCTCCGCTAGCAAATTCCCGCTGTGCTTAACCTTGCCAGGCTGTCAAGAGTCTCAGAGGCGATAATAGACATGCAAGAGCTTTGAAAAGGCCAGGAGTGCTGAACAGAAGCCGGGTATCGCTGTTACGCTCCGATGGCCCTTGGTGCTTGTCTGTGAGCTGACACAAAGCCCTCTGTCATTTCAGCTGAATAGCATTGGCAATTACTACAAGCCCTGGTTCTTCAAGCACGTGGAGAACTACCTGAAGACAAACCGAGAAGGCCTGGAGTACATCCCCCTGAGACACTACTACCACCGGCACACGCGCAGCATCTTCTGGGAGCTCCAGGTGAGGCTCGGGTTTCCCAGGCCCTGGCTCCTCCCGCCCTGCTGGGCAGGGAACCAGAGAGGTTAACATTGTAGCCACACTCTCTCCCTCAGGGGAGAAGTGTGGCTTTGTCCTGGGGAATTGGAACACCCTCTTACACAGCAACACAGTCGCTTCTTTCTGAGGGATCGGACCATCTTCACCTAAAGCGACAGGCTGTCACTGAGCACCTGAGAACGGGGCGCTGGGTGGGGAATTTGGGGAACACTGACCTGTTCCGTCGTTGAGGAGGTGTAGCCTCGCCAAGCAGACAAACATCACCTTGTAAAGAGGAAACGGCCGGTCTAGGGTTGGAGGTAGCCTAAGCTTGGCCCTGACCGGTGAGCAAGAATTTGCTGTTGTGCGAGGAGGGGTGGGGAGCAGGAGCTGGTTAAATAAGGGCCCCGGGGAAGGCCTCTTGGGAGATGGCTTATGAGCAGGGACCTGGACGTCGTAGGACAGGCCATGCAGAGCTCTGGGAGAGGGCTCACCAGGCAAAGAAAGTTCCTACGGGGCTGCATGCGTGCTTTTCCTTTTTGCTTTTAATTGAAGTGAAGTCATATAAAATTAACTATTTAAAATTATACAATTTAGATAGATAAAATTATACATAAAATTATACAATGTAGTGGTATTTAGTACGTTCATGATCTTATGCAACCATCACCTCTGTCTAGTTCCGAAACATTTTATCACCCCAAAAAGAAATCCAGTACCCATTAATTAGATGCTTCCCTTTCCCCCTTTCCCTAGCCTCTCCCAACCGTCAGTCTGTTCTGTCCCTATAAATTACCTGTTTCAGGTTATTTCATATAAATGGAATTATACAATATATAGCTTTTGATGACTGGCTGCTTTCACTTAGCATGATGTTTTCAAGGCCTATCCATGTTGCAGCATGTATCACTACTCATTCCCTTTCCTTGCTGGCTAACACTCCATTGTGAGGGTGACCACGTTCCTCTGCGGCTGGATGTTTGGGTTGTTTCCACCTATCGGCATTGCGAATAATGCTATGAACGTTCACAGACAAGTGTTGGTTTGAGTATTAGGTTTCCATGCTTTAGGGGGTATGTCTGTGGGTGGAATTGCCCATTCACAGGGTAACTTTGTGTCTAACTTACTGCAGAACTGCCCAGCTTTTTCCCACAGTGATGTTTTCCCACAGGGCTGAGCCACTTCACACTCCCACAGAGTGTTCGCTTTCTCTATCTTCTCACCGCACGTGTTATTTTCTGGGTTTTGGTTATAGCCATCCATCCTAGTGGGTATGAAGTGGAATCTCATGGTAGTTTTGATTTGCACTTTCCTAATGACAGATGATGTTTCATGTTCTTATTGGCCATTTGCGTATTTTTTGGAGAAGTGTCTGTTCAGTTCCTTTGCCCATTTTTAATTGGGTTATCTTTGTTGCTGTGTTGTAAGAGTTTATATAGTCTGAATACTAGATAGACCCTTACTGTACCAAATAGATGACTTAAAATTATTTTCTCCCATTCTACAGGTTGGCTTCTTGCTTTCTTAATAATATCTTTTAATGCACAGAAATTTTTAGTTTTGATAAAGTCCAGTATATCTATTTTTCATTACTTGTGCTTTTAGTGTCATATCTAAGAATCCATTGCTAAATCCAAGTTCATGAAGATTGATTCCTATGTTTTCTTATAAGAGCTTATAGCTTTAGCTTTTATGTTTAGGTTATTGATTTATTTTAAGTTTTTTATATTTATTTCTAAACATATTTTTATTGATTTCAGAGAGAGGGATAGAGAGATAGAAACATCATTGAGAGAGAAACATCATCCATCACTGCCTCCTGCACACACCACACTTGGGATCGAGACTCCAGGCATGTGCCCTGACCGGGAATTGAACTGGACCTCAACCACTTAGCCACACTGGCCGGGCAAAGTTCAGTTTTGTATATGGTGGAAGATATATGGTTATCCAGTTGTCACAGTAGGTTGCATGCCTTTAAAAAGCAGCAAGAAAGCCCCAGAGCTAGAACCCTGGTGGAAAATGAGGTTGCACAGCAGCCAGAGCCTAGATCATGCATGTTTTCATGGGTCAAGGAAGGACGTTATATTTTACTACAAGTATGATAGGACACCGGTGGAGGGTTTTGCACAGAAAAGTGCTTTGACCTGATTGTTGTTTTAAAAGAATAATTGTTACAGCTAGATGGAGGGTAGATGGGGAGGGAGGGTGACAAGAGTGGAAGCGTAGAAGAAAGATTCCTGTCGTCCAGGGTGGTAGCCCGGGGGGAGGAAAAGTATGTCAGATTGGGAGAATCTGCAAAAGTGGGGCTGACCTTTTCCGGACATATTGGCCATGAGAGTGACTCCAAGGTTGGAGGCCCAAGCCCCTGGGAAGCTGGAGGTGCCACTGACTGCCATGGGTAGCATGGGGAGGTCTGGAAAGGAAATGGGAAGATTGGTCTGGGGGTGTCAGTTTGAGATCCTTTCAGACATCTAGGTAGGACTGAGTGGCAGCTGGCTCCACGTCGGGACTCTAGGGCGCAGGTGAGGTGGCACACACCATGTGGGAGTGATCAGCATTCCAGGCGATCCTGCATTCCCGTCACACCTGGGCCTCGCCTGGCTGGTCCAGTTCCTTCCTCTCACCTAGCCAATCAATCAGCAATATATGAGGTCAGGGTTAACTAGCTGTATAATTTTCAGGACCCAGTGTAAAAAGCTGGGGAAAAGTGCCATCAAAGGTTTTAAATTATGTTTCTTCCTTTCTTCCCTGGTCTCTCTCTTATTATATTTTTCTTCTTGATAACATTCACATTCTACTAACACCTCACCTTAGCAACTGGTGAGGAAGGAAGGACTGAAAAGCAGAGGGGTCCTGGGGAGCCTGTCTTTCCCTCCCTCTGCTGTCCTCGTGCTCAGCAGTGTAAGTGGTTGGATAATGCAGGGAAGTAAGGACAGGTAGGTAGGTTGTTCATGTTTCTGAATGCCATTGTCACAGGGCCTGCCTCTGGGGTTGGGATCTTGGGTCAGACTGGGCCCACTGGACCGGTACCTGTGGTGGGGCCTGCAGCCCAGTAGACCAAGGAGGCCAGTAGGGGATGGACACAGGTAAAAGCCCTGGGAGGCTGGGGTCATGGAGGGAAGAGACTGTGATGAGGGTCCCTGCAGTGACTGACCTTGGTGTGCTGGCGGGACAGGACCAGGAGTGAAGCCAGGGACATGGGACCCGGCTCATACGGGGTAGAAGGACGGATAAGGGGCTAGACAGAGGCAGGAAAGAAGGGCAGGGCACAGTGTTTAAATTTGAACTTTGCAAAGTTGAGACTTTGGAAAAGGATTGGTTCCAGCTGATAACTTTTGGCTAACAATGGACTATTTTTAGGGGGGGAAATATAAATGGTTTTTAAACATAAAAAAGGTGATGCAGTCTCACTCAGAACTAAAGGCAGGCGAAACAAGACTACAGGAGTCTCACATTTTCTGCTTCTCTGAATGAGAGATGCCAAAGTGTGATAACAGCGTGCTGGCCAGGGTGTGGGAAACTGCGTCTCCTACATTGTTGGGGAGAGTATAAAATGGTGCAGGCTCTTAAAATAGGACCCATTAAAATTGCATACACTGTCTGAAGCAGAATTTTCCACTTCTAGGAACTTAGCTTTCAGGTAAACATACGTGTAAATGGGCAGGCACATGCACACAAGGACACTCATCGGAATGCTCAGGAGATGACCCACACGCCCGTTAGTACAGAACTGATGAAATAAATGAGGCCACATCCATACAGTAGAGCAGAGGTCAGCAAACATTCTCTGTAAAGGGTCAGGTAGGAGTTCTCTACGTGAGGTCTCTCTAGGAGCAACTCTGCCCTTACAGCCTGAAAGCAGTCATAGACAGTGTGTAAATAAATGGGCATGGTTGTGTTCCAATAAAACTTTATTTACAAAACCAGAGGGTGGGCCAGATTTGTCTCAGGAAACTCAGGAGATTCTGTAAACCAGTGGACTCATTACTGAACCTGAGCCAGACCTTGCCCACCCCAGTGAGAGCTGTCCCTGGGTGTATGACCTCAGAAAAGTGGCGTAAGGCCCTGGCTGGGAAGTTCAGTTGGTTAGAGTGTCATCCCATACACCAAAGGTGCAGGTTTGATCTCGGGTCATGGCACATAAAAGAAACAACCGATGGATGCATAAATAAGTAGAACTGCAAATTGATGTTTCTTTCTCAATACATTTTTCAAAAGGAAAGCAATTGCTTAAGCTCTCCGAAGATTCCTCTTCACATTAAACAGCATTTTTCTCAAACGCTCATGCCAGCCACTCTGACCTCAGCAACTAGAACAGCAGTCATAGCTGCCTTATTTTGTTTCAGGCACTGGGATGAGTGCCTTGCATTCGGTATGTCACTATCCTTGTAAGTCCCATTTTACAGATAAGGAAAGTGAGTTCAGAGAAGTTAAGTATCTATCTCAAGGTCATCTCAGCTGATCAATGACAGAGCTGAGAATCAAACCCTAACCAACTGGGTGAATCCTGTAGCGCCATACATGTTGATCCTCTCATACATATCGAGCACTGAACAAGGACCTGGCTCCTGGCCCCTGTTGGTTCCTTACCTCCATCTTCAAACTCTGTCTTTCAGGACATCATCCCCTTCGGCAACAACCCCATCTTCCGCTACCTCTTTGGATGGATGGTGCCTCCCAAGATCTCCCTCCTGAAGCTGACCCAGGGCGAGACCCTACGCAAGCTGTACGAGCAGCACCACGTGGTGCAGGACATGCTGGTGCCCATGAAGTGCCTGATGCAGGCCCTGCACACCTTCCACAACGACATCCACGTGAGCTGAGGAAGGGCAGGGCGGGCCGAGAGCCATCCTATGGACCCCATGGTCTTCTCCCCGAACCGTGGGACTGCCCATGCCTGCCCTCTGGGCCTCAGTGTCTCAACTGCAAAATGGACCTGCTCAGCCACGGCCCCAGTGGGAGAGAAGTAGCAGGGCCCAGTGACGAGCACGTCATGAATTCTCACATTGTGCCCTCTAGTGTGGTGGAGTGGGTGCTCCAATGCAGTCTTGAGGGTGGGGATGAAGCTGTGAGCAGCCAGAGGAGGGGCCCCTGGATAGTTCTGCAGAGCCTCCATTTGGGTAGGGGTGGTGTGGGCCAACTATGAGCATGTCACCTGTTGGAGAAAAAGCACCAATCAATACCTTCCTCCCTGGTCCACCCAGGTCTACCCCATCTGGCTGTGCCCATTCATCCTGCCCAGCCAGCCTGGCCTGGTGCACCCCAAGGGAGATGAGACTGAGCTCTACGTGGACATTGGAGCTTACGGGGAGCCACGCGTGAAGCACTTTGAAGCCAGGTCCTGCATGAGGCAGTTGGAGAAGTTCGTTCGCAGCGTGCATGGGTGAGTGGCTCAGAGGGCAGGCGTCGGCTGTCCCAGGGGACTGCTGCAGGGGCGGGCGGGGAAGGGCCCAGGTTGCCAGCTCTGGAGCAGGACCAGCTGGTCACTGCGGGACTCTGTCCCTCCCTGTGGCAGCCTGTGCTTCGGGAAGTACCTTGTGAAAAATGAGGTGGGAGTGCGCGCTCCTGCCCCTCTTCTCTCTGCATCCCCTCCTCTAGTCAGCACACTCGCTGCCTGAGTCAGAAACCCGGGAATTGCCCCGCTCCTCGCCCTGGGGCAGATGATGTTGGTTTCTCTATGTTCAGGGTCTGCCACTCCAGGTTAGAAAACCAAAGCTAAGCTAAGGAGGGGGAATTCGTGACTGAAAGCTACACAGAGGCCTGGATCAGAGCAGTGCTCACAAAACGGCCTGGAACAAGCTCCTGATCTACACAACACAGACAGATCTCAGAATGACTGTGAAAGAAGCCACGAAAAAGGAGTACCATTTATGTGAAATTCCAGAACCCTTTGGGGTGGGGGCGGTCATTATCTCAACTGAGGTGATGGTTTCTAGTTTGTATACATATGTCAAACTTAGCTGCCAGATGTTGGGCGTCATTTAATGCTAGTAGGTCTTGATCCAGCATCTAAAAGGGTTCAGAAATCTGGAAAAGAGGGCCATGCAAAGATTAAATAAGAGTCCAGAGACGAAAGATAATTTCGAAAGGCATTGGGGGTCAGAGGAGCCTGGCTAAAGAAACCAAGTTCTCCTTGTCTCAGGACCCCTTGCTTTTTATTAACATAATTTATCGTAAGGCAAGGTGGAGATATACACTTCAAAGGGTAGGGTTTTGTCTACAGAGTCTATTGTTAGATTGGTGAATAGCTTACAGCTGTTCAGGTGTTTGGCCAGTAGGACACAATAACATGTAGATTAAGAATGCCCTGAGCTGTCTGGCAGCAAACAATTATCCTTTTCAGGTTTGGGGAAATGGCTTTAGCCATTCCCAACAGGCAGTAACATATGTAACTCAGCCCCTTATTGCGTCCCCAAGTTCCATCAACCTTTTTATGAAACTCTTGCAATTATGACATGCTGGAACTGGCTTCTGGCACTTAGCAGGTTGTACATTTTTAATATGTGCAATTTATGGAACATCATTAAAAAAAATTAAGAGAGCAATCAGCAGCCTGTCAGGGAGCCGCCGTGTAGTGCACCGAGCATGGGGGAAGCCAGCAGTTCATTTTCTGCTCCTCACTCTGCCTCCACTGCCAAGCCACTTAGGACCCTGAGCCTCTGCAAAATGGGGATTAGAATTCCCGCACCACCCTCCACTACTAGGTCATGAGGGGATTAAACAAGGGAAATCCTCCAAAAGTGCTTCCTGCCTGCAAAGTGCGCTCCACAGAAGAGCGGTTGGGGTTCTCTCATCCGCTTCCCCTCCCTGTTCCGCTGACATCGCCTCCCTGTCCTCGCCCTCATCTCTGTTCTGCAGGTTCCAGATGCTGTACGCCGACTGCTACATGAACCGCGAGGAGTTCTGGGAGATGTTTGACGGCTCCCTGTACCACAAGCTGCGGGAGCAGCTCAATTGCCAGGAAGCCTTCCCCGAGGTGTATGACAAGATCTGCAAGGCCGCCAGGCACTGAGCCTGAGCCCGCCCACAGAGACAGACATGTGGTGGGCGCTGGCCCCGGGGCCAGCAGGCATCTTCCCTTTACTCAAACTTGGCTGCTCTCCCAGATCCACACTTGCAGAAGCAAAACCCAACAGAAATCCCACGCAGCAGCCTTGACTGACTGCTCCCAGCATCCAGGGGCCGCCCAGTGGAGTGGGAAGGACTTGGGATTTGGAGTCAGGTAAACCTGAGTCCAGTTCCCCTTCAGCCACTCATTTGCTGAGTCACTCAACCCCTCTGAGCCTGGCTCTTCATCTGTGGACAGAGGGTAACAGTATCTGCCTAGAGGCTGTGGTAGCTGTCATTGCTTCCCATTCAGCATCACACCTGACTGAAGTGCTCCGGATTCAGTGGTTGAGTCCCGAGAGCTCCATGTCGGGTCACCTGGGCACAGGCGTGGCTGAATGATGAAAGGCTGTCCTGGAGTGTCACCACTATTGCTTCAGTCAGCTAGAATTGCTCCTCACGGGAGAAGGAAGGTTCCTTTCCATCCCCGGGGTCTCAGGAGGGCAACAGGTGGGCGGGCAGGCCCAGGAAGTGCTGTGCCAAAGCCAGGTCAGATCCCAAAGTTTTCTCTGCCGTCCTCGGTGGTCCTGCCCCTCCCTCCTTCATGCTCAGGCTTGCATGCCCCGGCCATCACCGAGTCTGCCCCTAGTGGACCCTGTCCCTGGGGAAGACCTTTCAGGGTTGAATCCAATCCCGGCCCAGGCCTGGGATTCCCGCACTGGTGGAATGAGTGGCTTCTGCTCTGAACCAGATCCAGAGGGTCTGGACTCATTCTTTGCTTTCCAGCCCCCGGTGTGTCTTTGTTACTCTGTGGTATCTGGGTGAAGGTGGAGGGTGGACCACACTCGCAGGAGAGTGGAGCCCCCCATTGTTAGGTTCCGTGTGGATCCTCACTGTGGGGCTGAAGGAATAGAACAGAACATCAACTTGATTTCTCCAACCACTCATCTCCTTTCTTTCTCCCCCACCACCCCAAGCTGTAGTTAATTTCAGTGCCTTACAGATTCTAAGCTCAGAGAAAAGTTAGCTCCGTTTCCTTTCCAGAGGGAAGGGACCCTCCCTAGGGCCTTCCCCACTAACTAAACTTGGTTGTTTATGCAACTCCATTTTAAGACCTCCCCAGCCTCAGCTAAAGACTCAGAATCTGAAGGGAACTGTGCCCATTGAGGGAAGCTGGACTTGAGTGAGCCATGCCAGGCAGTAGCATCTGAGAGCAGAGCGCACCGGGTAGCAGGAGTCAGGAGGCCTGGGTTTCAGCCCCGGGTGTGTGGTCATTGTGCTGTGCAGCTGTGGGCAAGTCATTCGTTTCTCGGAACTAGTTTTTCCTCATCCATCACATCGGCACAGACAAGACCTCCCTGGGGGCCATTGGCTATCTCAGGCCCCATGGCTATCTCAGGCCCCATGGTTGTAAAACCCGTGGAAAGCCTCATTTGTGTGAAAAGTCAGAGGAAAAATAAATGATCAAGTGGACCCTTGGGGGTGGTCTGTCATTTACAGTCCTTCCTTCAGCCCAAGGCTGGCTCTCATCCCATCTTCAGAAAGGCTTGCAGGAAGTGTTGGTCTTGTCAGTGTAGGTTGCCAGAATCCTCAGAGTCACTCTTTGACTGACAGGCACTCACACACACACACATCCATTCCCCCCTGCCCCCAAGGGCTTGGCACACTGCCAAGTACCTTAGCATGGCACTCGGAAGACAGAGGGACCCCCTTACTCGGGCCTCTGTGAGGGGGCATAGGAAAAATATAAAAACCCCGTTCTCTAGCTTGTATGCAAAGCACATGAATTCTGGCTTTAGCGCTCAAAGTGGGCCCGTGTGCTCCAGGTCGAACTGATGATCCTACTTGGTGTAGAGGAATGGCTCACCTGGGCAGATTAACCCAGCAGCTAAGGCTCGCCCGTCATTTCACCGGTGAGACCTCCATCCGTGAGCCACTGGGAATGTGGCCAGAGATGCCAGCAGCCTCTGTTGTCCTTAGTCCTACAAACCAAATCCTGTCCTTCACAGATCTCACCCCGAACCTGGGGCTGGGTGGGGAAGGTCTTGGGATTGCACCAGCCTCACATTAATGTCTTATTCCAATAACGTGTTGCCTGGAACCGGCAGTCTGCCAGCATGGTGAGCTGCCAGTTGTCTCGCAGCCAGTCCCATCCCTGTCCATCGTGAGCTGGTTCCAGGTGGAGCTGAACTTCGCACTGGGGGCCAGTGTGTGGAAAGTAGAACAACAGGCCCCTTCCCACGGGGCTGTGAGATTCATGGCTGCCTGAAGGTTTTCTGTAAAATCAATCATAGCCAGTTTCTTCGGCTGGAAGGATGTATAATTAATGGAGTGTTGCTAAAAGGGAGGGGGTGTGAGAGAGATTTTTCCCTCCTTGGTCACGGGGCCGGAGGAGAGAGGCATGAGTCTCCCCTGGCAGGCTCTCACACAGCAGCCGCTGCGCCTACTACCGTCCAGAATACTTCCTGTCCCTGTGGCTGTGTGGCCACCGCTTCTGTAAAAATAAAAGTGTGACTGGATCGTGGCCTTTGTTGTTTCTTGCTCTGGGGACCACCATGTGGAGTCAGACCTGGCTCAAGGGCAGGCTCTGCCCCCACCAGGTCAGTGTCCCAGGTCAGAACCTGTGCTCCCTGAGCGAGGACAAAGAACAGAAGGGACGTGACTTGTTCGTTAGGGCAGGGGGCTCATGGGTGACTTCCCGTATTCGAAATTCTATCCTGTCACCATGTGAACTGGTGTGGGTGCTAATGGGACCTCCCATCCACAAGGTGGAGAGCAGACTGCCGGGGGAGGGGGGGGGGGGACAAGGGAAGAGTCCAGGTGAGGCAATGGGGGAGGGGTATCTATATATATATATATATATATATATATATATATATATATATATATATATATATATATATATAAATTCTGAATCATTCTAAGCATGAGAATTCCCCCCCCCTTTATTTTTGTTTGATTTTTCCATCACCTTTTATTCCCTCCATATCCTCTTTCACCTCACCTTCCTCTCCCTCCCTGCAATCACCACACTGTTGTCCATATCCATGAGTTCTTTCTCTTTTTTTCTCTTTTTTTTATTTGTCCTCACCTAAGGATGCTTTTCCATTGATTTTTAAAGAGTGTGGAAGGGAGGGGGAGAGACAGAGACAAACATCAATGTAAGAGAAACCAATTGGTTACTTCCCTCGGCCCATGGACTGAAGGGTTGTGGGTTCAATTCCAGTCAAGGGCATGTACACCAGTTGCAAGCTGAATTCCCAGCTGACGCTCCAACCACTGAGTCAACCCAGCTAGTGATGCCTTTTTTAAGGCACCAGACCTGGTTGTCAGGAGCTCCGGGCTTTGTCACCAGGTTGTGACCTAACAAGTTTTGGCAGGTGAACCTTGTGAAGACGATTCCCTCACCTACAACATGGATGGAGACGGAATACTCCTGCTGGGGACCTGGAGCTGCCTTATGACAGGCCACACTCCCCCGCCTGTTGGATTTTAATGAGCAGGGGGTCGAGGATTTTGGCTTTAGAATAGAAGGGGTCCCAAAAGTATCCACCATATGTCACCCTTTCGGTCCATCTGCTGTCTGGCTCCCAAGTTCATGTCATTGGCCAGTTTGAATTCTCAGGATAACTGAGCTCCTATATCAAAAGGTACCTGGCTTCGATGTCCCCGTAGACACTGTGACCCCAAGTAGATGTCTCCAACAGAAGTGATCCCATCACCACACCTCTCCCCTCTCCCAGGCATTCCCAGGTCCTTTCTCCAAGACCCTCCATCCCCACTTCCACCCTCCGGTCCCCAGATTTGTCTTCAGTCCTTTGGGCCCTCTGGTCATGGCAGGCTGTCCTTCGCACGTGGCTTCAAGGAGTAGGATCTGAATTGTAGTCCACAGTTGTAAGGCACTTCCCCTTAGTGAAAGGTGTGATCCGTTCCCTTTAAAAAGAAAGAGGGAAAAGAAAATGGAACTGGCCCCTTGCAAGTGTGGGCCCCCCATCCTTGGAGGATGCCCACAGGGATGAACCAGAACCCACTGGTTGTGTTTCCCAGGAGATCCTACATTGGGTGGGGGGCCAAAACTGACCTCCGGAACTTTCCTATCCAAACAGCCTGTTTCTAAGGAGGAGATCCCTCTACTTTGCACCCAGTTTAGCTCATCAGAGCCCCAAGTTGCTTTGTCAGAACTTCAAATACAGAATCCAAGAATCTGAAAGATCATTTAGCCCAACCCATCAGCCCAGAAACATGCTCACGTGTTTACCCCACCAAAAATAAAGGAAGGAAGATAGATGAGAAAGAAGGGAGGGGAGGAAGGAAGGAGAAAAAGGAGAAAGAGAGGAAGGAAAGAAGAGTGGGCAAAATTATGGCCTGGCCTTGGAGCTAAGGCCCTGCCTTTCCCTGGCCCATGCTGTCTCCATGGTAATCACCAGACTTCTGTGTTCAATAATAAATGCATCGTGGGGGTTGCAGGAAGCAGGAACTCTGTGCTTAACTGCCTAAGAGTCCCTACTTCCTGACGAAACTTCCATCATAGCAGCTTGCACAAAGGCCCAGGAGGAAAAGGAAGTCATCAGGTGAGGGCAGGTGGGATGAGGACATGAAGGTGAGTCATGGTGAAGGCTGGCTCTGCCTTAGCCTTCCTGTTCTCATCCTCCAGAAAGTAGGGGAAAGTGTCCTTCATGAAGAGAGGCCCTGGGTCCCCTCTGCCCTCCTCCTGCTTCTCACGCTGCCCTGTAACTAGAAAGGGGAGTGAGTGCCTTCCCCAGGAAGCTGGGAGCCACTCTGGGGCCGAACCGCTGACTGGTTCTCTTTTGCAATGTCCCAGGAGGCAGGATTTGCCCAGCAGATAGTAAGTGCTCAACTAATTTTTGGAGACCACACACAGATGCCATTGACTAGCAGAGACTTTAGAAAAACACTTTCTCCAAACTGATTTGTCTCAATTGAAAAACACTAAGAGTAATACCT